TTAGTAAATTTATCGATTAGGAATAAATTATCACTGGCGTGAATTATCGCTGATCATATGAATATTTTTTCACATTGCTGCTATCAGTAAATAAATAAGTTGATATAACAAAAATACTAAACATTTATAATATTTCAAGAGCTTTGACACTGGGAAAACTTTACGTAACTAAAACCACGAATATTCTAGCGCTGCCTGGCATTTTTCTTAGTATGATCTGATTGGGTCACACGAGTCTGACGTCAGTGATAATGTATTCCTAATCGCTAAGTTTACTAATTTACTAAGTTACTAAACGTTTCCTTTTCAATTTCTCTATGACAATTGTTTTGCAAGTAGGTGTATATCTATGTCTATAGTTGTTCAGCAGTTCAGTTTTTCAATAATATATCGAGGAATTTACATGGGCGCGCAATTTATATATATAATAGCAAGCCGATTCAGCAGCGATATCTTCACGTGCGAAAGATATGGTATCTTCCACTGGTGAAAGATATCAAGTTTTCGACACTAGAGAAAACCTGGTATTTCATCGATATCTATATAATAAATCCAGGATATCCGATCGAGTAACTGCCTAAATGCTTTGGTTTTGCTTTGCTCTTCCTAAGCTGTCCTTTGCATATTCATTATTTACACGGCCAAGTTAAAAAAGGTTATTATATACATACCGAGATTAACTCACTAGTTTTTATTCGTTATGAAATGGATACTACGTTAATATGAACTCAAAAACGCTCTCGTACGAATACCAACTAATCAACTACGAAATCTGGATATTTTTGGTTTTTCCTTTTTTCATTCGGCTTTCATTCGGTTGAAAAAACACGACATGTTGACATCCATCGTAAGGCGTCTTGGTGCCCTGCAAATCCTCTGTAACTATGTTTACAGTTTCCAAGATGACAGCACAGTAATCATCCTTGCTGTACTGATGGCCATCCTCAAAACCAAACAGAAGCCTTTTCATGTCGATGCTTCTCGATATCGATTCCTGTGTTGGTTTACCTCCATCGACTGCAATCTCCACCGCTTGTCTGATGGCAAACTTCAGTCTGTCAAGAATCTTGTCATGTGACTTTGGATGCATCTCTCGAAGTCCACCATCACAACCATCTTGCAAGTGAAGCACAGCTTTGTCGATCTTTTCACGTATCAATTTGTTTCTGTTTGGTGGCTAAGGAAGAAAAAATTGTGAATCACAAAATGTCAATATACGGAGAGTTGTTGCCCAGTCCTCTTAGCCAGAGGCTAATGTTTATAAGTATACGACACACTCCACACTCACTACCACATATTTGGTGGCTACACATGATTCCAAATAATAAAGATCATAAAGTGAGGTTAATACGTAACCAGACAGGTTAGTGGAAGAGTTTTATTCTTTGAAAGGCCGAACCTGATTGACCTTATCTTGGGGACCCCTTAGGATGCTACATCATAAACACGAATTTTGGTTAAGACAGTGAGAACTAAGCTATTGATTTCTCAATAGCCAATGTGCACGAGAACGAAACTCTAGCACAAAGCATGATGGGAAACCGAGTACTTACAATTTTTCAGCTCCTCTTAAAATCCCTCTGAAAAATTTTCCTTTGACTTTTTCTATGGAAATGTGAGTATTTCAACAAAAGAAAATAACAGAGTACTTTTTTCTGTTAATTCTATTGATTTCCTTGTTCAGATATTTATCATAAGCTGTCACTTAATTAAGGCTGAGCTTTTGATCTCTTACTTCGAAGGCGTGGGAATAACTAGCAAATCATTTACCACAAAACCAAATCAAGAAAGACTAACAGCATGTATATGTATTCTCACCTTGATTTTATGAGTTTCTAGGAGTTTCGTTTTCTCTGGTGTCAGAATGATGAGTTCGGCTTTGATTGAGGTGTTGGTGGTATCGTAAAGCCTTGGAATGTAAACTTCAGGATCGTAATCAAAGCTGTCCTCCGAGAAAGGAATAAGATTGCAGCTACTCATGAAATTTGTACGATCAGGTGGGGTCACTTCTGCACCGTGAAAAAAAAAATAGTAATAAGATCTAAAAGAATATATACGTTTTTATTTCGTCTCCAGAAAAAGAAAATTGAGGTGACACTACACATTCTTAAAAACAAACAAACAAACAAACAAACAAACGAACGAACGAACGAACGAACGAACGAACGAACGAACAAACAAACAAACAAAACAAAACTAATGTCTTTAACGTGTGTATTAGCACATTGTGTATTAACAAGAAGGTTCACTTTCTTGGATTCGCCCTGACTCTAAAACTAAAGTCACTGTGGAGTAGACGCTGAGCACATCGGCTGATCGGCTGTACTCGCTACAGATTAGGGTATAAACGTACGTTTATTCTTTTTACCACTGAAGGTTTTACAAATCAACTTGTAATTCTCGCTCTCTCTTCACATTCCTCACGTGCATCGACTTGCAAGTGTTTGCATTTGTAAATGTCGTTGCGTCACTTCCGACAGACCCAGATGATACAGATGATCCCTCTGCTGACGACTCTGGGTACTGTTTCGTTAATAGGGTGATCAGTTCAAGTTTTATGAATCCATGAAACGAGTGATGAAGGATGTCAGCAGGTTTAACTACAAGTGGAGTGTACGATGGCAGTTTCGTTTGGTGGCAAAACATTGACTTCATGGTTATTGTTATAGTTATGAGAATAAAGTACAACCTTATCCAAAAAAGAAGCGACCCTTCCCCTATCAAGAAAAATGAAAAGTTTGATCCTCTAAAAATGATTTTTTTTATTAACCTTCCCACAAATACTCAGCCCACCNATCGGTTCGTATAATCCTCGTAGCGGTTAAACAGAATGCAATGTTTGTCCGAATCTTTAAGCTATTTTTAGAATCAGTGCGCTGCGCTATTATCTGCTCCAAATGGTGGTCAAACACCTGACCACCATGTGCTGTCAACCAGAAAGAATTCTATTTAAAACTTGTGATTCAGCTGATGAACATTCCGCACGAGACAGGAAATGATGTCAAGTGAAACCCAGCAATATGGGAACGTTCATTGACCATACAGAGAGAATTTGTGTCGTTCTGTTCTAGATTGTGTCGCTTTGTTCTTTTCTCATTGTTACTGAATTGGCTGTAAAAATACAACATGTTGACATCCATCGTAAGACGTCCTGCTACCTTGTAAATCCCCAGTAACTGTGTTCACAGCATCCAAGATGACAGAAGAGTAATCATCCTTGCTGTACTGACAGGTATCTTGGCTGCGATTAGGTAGAAGCCTTTTCATGTCAATGCTTTTTGATATCGATTCCTGTGTAGGTTCACCTCCATCGACGGAAATCTCAACCGCTTTTGTAATGGGAGTCCTGAGTCTCTTAAGTATCTGGTCGCATTCACGTGACTCTGCATGCATCTCTTTAAGTTGACCATGTTCTTTCAAGTGAAGGATAACTTCATCTACATGCTTCTTTAGTATCTTCCTATTTGCAAAGGGGGCCTATTCAAACAAAGAGATGTTACTCATAGACAAATTTCCTATACGCTTTTTAGAGCGTGTATGGGTGTTTGAAGACAAGGGGAGAGGAGATTATAGCGTTTGAACAAGCCTATGTCAAACCTTGTTAAACTTGGTGATCCCCCTTGTATGATACACAAATTGCATTTTTTATTATTTGCAGCACGAGGGTAGATAATTTATATAAGGTTAGTTGTCTGGAGTAGCGGGAAAATCATGCGGCAAAATCACTGGAAATCTTGATTATGTACAGGCTACCCAGGAACTCGTTTTAACCTTCTTACCCTAATGCTGTCAATTTTCAATTCTGCAGTCTTTTCTGGTGTCAATATGATTAATTCTTTTGTCTGAGAGCTAGCCAATACAGCGTGGTGTGCCAAGAGTTCCGTTTCGGGATCGTAATCAAAGCTATCCTCTGAGGAAGGTATTAGATTACAGCAGCTAATGAAGTTGATACCACGAGGTGAAGACACTTCTGCAATATGTCGTACAAATAAGATTGTTAGAGCATTTACAATAATGACTTATTACAACACAACTTATGATATGCCGCAAATGGTTTTCTATCTATATGCCGTACAATGGAATACTTTGACGGTATGGCCGCCGTATCGTCGAAGTAGTCCATTGTGTAGATTCCGTTACGAAGGGAGTGCTACATTTCGGTTAAGATTTAGCTTATTTTATGGAATCTGCGCATGCTATATAATAATAAATATTATCGGTTAACTGCATTTATCAAAACTGCATTAACACCTTTTATGTCCTTACATGCACCTCCTTTATTCGCCACTCTTTTTAGACTAACCTGGTGCAACAAACTGCTTTATCCAATCAAATGCAGGACTGATATTGGTTATAACTATCTTGGGCACCAAGCGTTTGTCCAGAAGCATCTTGTAAAATGCTGCCCACATCTGCTCTGTGTCGTACGGATGAATGCTGCGGTACGCACCAAACACCACCATTCCAGCTGGATAGAGCTTTACTTCAACGTTTTCTACTTCAGTACGGGTACCACCGTGGTCTTCTTTGTACAGAGTTAGGATTCTGTTATCCACAGCAATACCACAAATGACGGGCTTCTCGGAATGAAACCCATTTGGAGCATAGCAATCTGGATTTGGCAACAACAACAACAACAAAAACTGTTACTGATTTCATGATTCGCTCACGAGCTAATGCTGTGTATACAGCAAAATAAGAAACCTCTCTATAGCAACAAAACTCCTTCTCTTGAAATCTCTGAGGAACAACCTTTACCTCACGCCAGAACGGAGCTGTAAGTAAGATTGCACTTTGTGATAACATGCTTTGTCTTTTTGAATAGCAAACGTTTTGGTTTCCTTTTTACCTGGTATTTTCTCAGAGCACAATTTGACGCACTCCAGAAAGGCATTTTCCCAGACTATCACTAACTTTCCCAGTTTTTCCCCAGGTTTTTTCTTGACCTTAAAGAGAAAAACGCTAATATTAACATTGTACGATTTACATGAAAAGCTTAAAATTCTTCCACATCACACCTTCAGAGCAAAAAAAGTATGACACACAAGTTTATTGACTGCAACGTAGAGAAAAAAACGCTAACCATTGCACCATGATTTTAATCCAGCGTCTAAGCCGGGAAAGCTCTTTTTTATTCGAGTGCTTTTGTCAACATTCTTTCAACCAGAGTAATGTAGAACATACCTTTTTTCCTTGCTCATCGATGTTGTGTCTCAATCTCTCATAATGAAGCAGCTCTCTATTATTCTTTAAGCTGGTTTCCTGCTTAACAGCTTCTAACTGGGAATCAAGCATTTCTAGTGAGTCCGTCGGCTTGAATAACTCGGCTATTTTCATTAATTTACCATTTACTTTCACAACAGAGATGTTAAATGTAGACAACACAGGTTTCACTAATTGTTTCCACACCTGCCTAAAAACACTCTCCTCCAGTGACTGAAAAGCTGGTACATACGCAGACATCTCAATGGATGATGAATACCACAAATCCTCGTTAGCTGATGCACTTTGGTTGTATCCTGCACATTGCAGCATATCGATGGCGTCGTGGTTGGACTCGAAGTGCAATACCTCCAAATGGACAACAGTCTGAATATCTAGGTACTGCCAATTGGAAAGTTTGGCTGTATGGTCCGAAATTGCATGGACGATTTTCTTTGCAAACCTGACAGTACTTGGCTTTGAAACGAAACACTTTGCTAATCGACGAAACAGAATAACAAGGTTCTTCGACAATGGGTCTTTATTTGCTAGCTCTTTCAAAGACTCAGTATATTCCTCATCTTCTCCACCAAATAAATAGAAAAACAGCTCCTTTAATATCTCGTCCCGACTTTTGTACAAATTACCCACGGCGTTGGGATTAAGAGAAAAACTTGTACAAAGCGACTTTACAGCTTTTTTGATTTTTTTAACAGCGATTAAATCGGCTTTCAGCTCATTTGCAATCGAAGCAAGTTCATTTAGGAGTCTTGCAATCAAGGATCAAGCGATGTTTAAAATACTCTTTAGTCTTAGTGGTCTCCACTGAAAACAAGCACTTTCCAACTACATCTGATTCCTTATTGAGAAGCTTAATATTTTCTGGAGTCATGTTTGTTATAGCATCAACATCCCGCGAAGAGAGGTCCTGTGTATGAACTAAGCTCGTGCACCACGACTCTATTGCCTGTGGATCATATCCAGCTTTTGTCATCTCCATGTACCATAATGGAAGTTGTTTTAGACTCATGTTGTCCTCGTGCCCACAGTTGTGTTCAATAATGTTCTCGAGAAAACTGATGGTCTTAGAGGCAGAGTTTGGAAATTTTCTTGCAGCAAATGGCAGGATTTTTAATCCAACTTCTAGTTCTTTGTCTAAATCCCTTTGTGCCATCTTCTCGCCTCTCTCGTCGTACAAATGTGTAAGTCTTTCTACTAAGGACAGGCTTTCCTGCTCGTTCCATGAGGGTATTATGTCCAGACAGGTTTCCGTGGCAGTTGCGCTTTTGCACAAGAGATGGAACAGGTGGAATGCAATATCTTCTTGTTCGGTTGTCTTTAAGACACGTCCCATTATCTCTTTAGGCTCAGATGTGACACCAAATAATCCATAATTACCTTCGAAAGATAATTTGTGTAGCTTTGAAAGTGTTCTGTAAACTTCCTCGTTCATACGTATTGCCTCCTCGCAGCTTTTGCGTCCTTTTTTCCATGAAACAGCTTTAATGATAACATCGTCATATTCTGCGACAAAGTGATGCGGTTTCTGACTGCTTAACCAGTATTCAAACTCGGCAAGATACGATGATTCATTCATAAGGTTGAACGAAAATCTCAGTTTATCATCAGCACTGCCGCCGTAAATACTATACGCTGACCTATCGCCGTGATCTCGGAACGCATAACATAAAAGCTTATTACAAACGTTTTGTGTCGTTTCTCGTAGATCACTATCAGGAACTCCTAATCTTCTTAGTTGGTTTAATACCAGATACGCCACATATCCAGGTGACGGAAATTCGGATTTTTCCTTCTCTCTTGGTTCGCTGGCGCAAGCATGACCAAAGACGAATATTTCCAAGTCCATGTATCCCTCAACTGGATCAAAAATATCATACTCATTCTCCAACAAATTTGTTGAGAAATCAAGCAGATAACTGTCATCGAGGCCTTTGCGGATGAGCATAGCAGAACATACATCAGTTGCTGTGACAGAAGACTCCTTCAGAAGCAAATAAAAGTCAAGTTGAATTAGGGATTCCCTGCTCTTATCTTCCGCATGAACTGACGGATCTAGTTTTCTAACAACGTCAAATGCCTTAACTATCCCTTTCTTGGCTTCTTCGTTGTGTTTGGCTTCCTTGAATATCAAATACAATTGTTTTGGGATGTTGAGACAACTTTTATTTACTTTGTTCATCTCATCGTCATTCCAAGTGAACAGCTCGATAGCTTCAATAATCTGCACAATGAAATCCCGAGTTCTCTTTCCCTCTTCGTTCAGACCAAGAACATACCAATGCCTGATGCATGCCATGACTAAGAAGGCTAACTCTGAACAACCTGATATTTTGGCATAGAGCTCCTTCCACTGATCAATAACTTCAAACATCTGAAGAATAACTGGTTTTATTTTAGGTTCCTCATTTAGCCCAGCTATATAGCACTGTCTCATGCACTCAGCAATCGAAGGAACAATCTCTGGTACATCAGGTGATAATTCTTTTTCCATTTTCTCTATTTCAATCTCCAATCTTTTATGAAACTCAAAGCTTTTAAGAATCTGGAGAGTAAGAGATTTTACATTTGGCTCTTCACCAACGTCAACGCTATTACGGCATTCTTCTGCACACGTGCTAGTATATGGAACCAAATCAGGGGAAACATTGATAACTTCTTTCTCTATGTACATTATTTCATTCTTGAGTTTTTTCCACGGCTCAAAACCTTTAAGAATAGACAAAATAACGGTCTTTGAACTCGGCTTTTCGCCAATACCAAGTATGTAGCATTGTCTCATATGTTCAACAAGTAAAGGGCCCAGCTTTTCATCGGGTGAAAGCTTTGATAATATTTGTCCTATGGCATCAATTTCAATCTCAAGTTTTCTCCAGCTTCCAGCATTCTCTAGGACCTCCTCTGTGAGAGTTTTGACACTGGGTTGATCATTGAAGCCAGATTTATAACATTCTTTTAAGCATCTGCCAATCAAAGGGGTCAAAATGGGTGGGACAGGAAGCATCATCTGCTTGAAATCCTCGTCTTTCTCTTTTAGATTTGTCTCCCAAACCCTTTTTGTGATGGCCTCAACAAACTCAGAAGTAAACGATGAATATTGAGAATCCTGGTTTTTTTCTTTCTTTTGGGCCATGTAATGGTTACTTTCGCTTGACAGTCCCAACGATGACAAGGTTTGTTCAAAAGCTATTATCGCTTTATAATGGTCCAAAATGAGATAATCACTACACCTTACAGATGCATTAGAACTGCTGATATTAGTTGGAACTAGCACCTTTTCAAACGTTAAATAAACGTCATTGTCATCTAGTGAAGAGAGTAGACCATTGCTGTTCATTTGAAGTAATTTGAAAAGGACGTTGAGAACTTCTTGATCGTGGGTGATGTCCTGATCAAAGATTGCCATGAATCTTTGTATCAAACATTTTATTCGCTTCAAAGTAAAAGGAAGCTTGGCTATTAAGCAAAGTACTTCCATGGTGACATATCTGAGACTCTGTTGCTTGAAGTGTTTTGATTCACGGAAAGCACGATTCAAGTCTACATAGAACGAGTGAAAATCGATCGGAGGATCTTGTCGGTGCGTGTCCACTGCCGCAATTGTCACTCTCAAAGTTGCTTCATTCAGATCCACGTCAAATTCACTAACCGCAATGTCGTGAGAAACTGTAGCAACCATCGTCTCGAAAATTTCAATAGTGGGAAAATTAAACTTTCCTCTGTCATACCTCAAAATACACTTGTCACATACTTTCGTCAGTAACTCTAAATGGCCTGCATGCGAGGTAAGTTTTTCAGTAATGATTTTCAATAGGAAGTTGACATGACAGTTCACTCTCGTGTGACCTTTAAGTATTTCCTGGTTGTAATTCAAGCAGGTCACGATAAATTGATAGGAATTATGAGATCCCGTAGCTGCCAAAACAAAAAATCTCTTTGTATTTTTTTCATTTACGGAGAATTTGAGAAACTCACGGCAGGCGCTGAGCATAGCAGTTTCATTTCCCTCTCTTGTTCCTTTTAAAAGACGTGCAAACTCTTCAAGCATCTCTTGCTTTCTTTCGATGAGACAAGACTTCCCGATAGCATTTATGATATTCATTATTGGATAGAAATTATCAAGAGCAGAACCACGTTCTTCCACAATCTTGAGCAGTTCTAGCGCATACCGCCTGACCATCGCGTTATCTCTTAGCGAAAGAAGTGACAAAGTCAGTGGGGAAATAGATTCACTGTACCCATTTGCATAGTTTACTTCTCCAAGCAGATCCATGCCAAGTTGAAGAATGTTTGTCTTGACTTTCTCAGGCACTGGTTTACTTTTCAGTAACGTAAGAAAAGAATCGACGTTAGATACACTATGATATGAGTAACTGCCCACAAATGTCATTTTGTCAAAATGTATTTTCATAACGTTGATATTTTCTGGATGATACCAGGAATTGGGCAAAGCATTCATAAGACTTGGCAGCAATGTCCGACAGAGAGGTAATGTATGTATAAGCTGAGTACGACATTCTGTCAAAAAAATGACAAGGTTCTCCATATCAATGACTATGCTTTCTCTCTTCAACTCTATTACTTCAATGACCAGAACAAACAACTCTGACAGTACACGATGCGATTTGTCATCAGGAAAGGTTTGCTTCCATATTTGAAGAATCTTCAACACTTGTTGCTTATCTGGAATAGTAAGCAGCGCTTGAGTTATCGCATTGAGACTTAGCTTCTTGTGATCCAATGCACCCGTATGTTCATCTATGAGCATAAAGTTTTCAGCCCTCTCTTCAATCCAAACACCAAAATCATCAAAATGATATGGATATGAACCTTTGGTGGCGGCGTTTTTGGTTAGGTTGTTTGCTAGTATAGAGAATATATCCTCAATGACTTTGGTGCAAACGTCTCTAGTTGATTGAATGAGCTTGATACAAGCCTTAGGGAGAAGTCGGAATACTTCAGGAAAATTAAACAAGATTATCAATCTTTCCTTCTCGCAAAAACATTCGTACTTGTCATCTGAGCCCATAAGGGATTTAATGGCATCAAAGACTTGACAAATAAGCGAGGTGTCGTTTATGTTGCCAGAAATACTTATCCCTTCCTTCGAACTTTCCAAGTGTACGACTAAGTCATGTTTGGCCACTTGAGCAGCAAACCAGTTGGTCACAGAAGAAATTTCTAACAACTTTAACCATTTTGAAAGCACGGTGGCACAAATGAAATGTTTATTTTCGGGATCTCTCCTTACTATTGCTGCTGTTTGCTCGATCACATCTTCAAATCCCTCGGAATGAATTTTTGGCTTCAGTACTCTGTTGATTCCCTCAAACGTGAATATTTCTATATTAAACCATACCACACACGCATGCCGAGGCAATTTACATTCCTCCTTTATAATTCCATTAACAATTATGCTTTCATACAAATCTTTTATCTTGGACACACTGCTGGACATTGACACAATTGACTGAGAACTTGAACTTTGGTTTGCCACCAGTTCATCACATAGCTTCATTGTCCAGTTAATGATAGCTGCAGGACTTGCGACCAGCCGTTCTTTTTCATTTCCTCTTTGCACACAATGAAACTGCGAGCAACACAGCTCAACAAGTTTCAGGGATTCATCTTCAAATGTCTTGCTATCACTGTAAACTTTGCTCAAGCTTACCAACCCTTTTCGAATGATTTTCACTACAAAATTCCCATTGAGTTYAGTCAGTTTTTTAATCACYTGAAGCCKTCCWTCCTCAGAGTGAAAGKTKAAATTGAGAAGYTCGTCACACGCTTGTTGCACGTCAATAATCCCTAATGACTGGCTTTCTCCATTGGATCCATCGCGGTAGAGTTGACCTCGACAACTCTTGATGAGATCTTGAATTGGATGGTCCGTGTTCTTCGTATTAGTGGATGGTGGTGAACCAAATGTATTTTCCATACCTGATAAAAGATTTCTAATCAGATCAGTTGGATTTTAATCAAATAGTAACTCCACCATCTTTTTAAAAGACATGGTAACCGCTGGTCCAGACTCGACCTACTTTTCAAAATTGTGTTTATTGCTTTACGTGTGCAATCCTAGTACAAAATTCCTTACGGATCGTGAGTATTTCCCCTGCATCTTTGCGCGCCTGCGCGCGTTGATTCGGATCAGAAACAAACAGAAATAAAAATGGGTTAAGTTCTGGACTTGGTAACTGCGGTCAACAACAAAAACGAAAAAATAAAAATAAAAATGAAATTAAATAAATAAATAAAAGAATAAATTGTAACTTAAATAATTGTTTTAGTATTTTTAACAGAAGTGAATTTAATACAAAACAGAGAGTGTTTTGTCTTTTCCAAATTTTATTTATCTTTGCAAGCGGCACAAATCGACAAACGAGCGTGCGCGGGCGCGAGTTATATTCTGTAGGTGAATATAACAGTATAAGACGTAAATTGTAACCAATGAGCGCGCCGGATTTACTAATATTATATTCACTCGTGTAAAAATACTAATATTCATAATAGCGGCATCAAATAAAAACATATTTTAAAGGCGAGCTGCGTGACGACTTCATGCTGGGTCGGGAAAATTCCCCGAAGATCGAAAGCCAAAGACTCCTAGCTAGCTTTGTACATAGTTAATCGAGGGGTCCCCTCGATTAACTATGCTTTGTATTTTTAGTATGTCCAAAAACTAAGATATTAAAATAATTTATACCATTATATACTTCTTATTTCAATAATTGACCTACATTCATTCAGTTCTAGCTAGTATTTGTACCGAGTAATCCAGTATCGCTCGAAAGCTGGATTTTCATCGCTTCCTAAGTACAGTACCACTTTTGTAAGGTTAGGTTTACTGCTATTGTTTGGATGACCAATCTATTGCTTTTTAATCCATTCAGGTAACTCGTTCCGAGCGGTACGGGCTGGCTCATTTGTACCAGGTAAAATAAAGTAAAGACAATCCTAATATAGTATAATTTGCAGTTTCTAGGTCTTCTTATTCTGGCTACATAATATCCATATTACGCAAGTTTGTCGTATTTATGGCTATGGTTATGTTTTACATTACCTAAAAGAAACCTAAGATTTGTCTAGACTATTTTTTTCTGTTCGTATAAACGCTTTTGGGAAGTGTGTAAATATGTAGAAGGCGGTTGAAAAATCGCAAAACGAACATCGATTTGGATCGATTTGCGAAGGAATAATCGTAATACATTTCAACTAACTGAATTAGAAATTCAGTGCTTGCTTTTGATTCTCATCATATAAGGTCCGTGAATTTTCACTTGAGCTACACGAATAACATAATTCTAGACGTATACATTCTTACCTTGGTTTACTCCAATCCTCGAAAAAGTCTGAAGACTAAGATGACATAAGTGCTGAATAAGCAAGTCTAGCTTGACTGAACAGAACCAATCAGAACACGGGATTCTACGTAGACTATTTCTAAGAAATCTATGGGTATTACAAACCACTTAGGAAGGGAGGGGTGAGTCGGGGAAAATATATTCGTTGGACTAAGCTTTATTTCAGTACTATTTGTTACACAATTCATGAGTTTTTGGCTATAATTTGATTACAGTTGATTTATTAGTTCACGAAGTCAGGTTTCTATGCTTTTTTCGTGTTCAAAAAAAACTCCCGTTTGTAATTTTAGGTCAGTTTCTTTAGTCTTAAGCTGCCGATACACACTGCAATTTTTTCTCGCGCTGGCAACGCAATTTAACATTTTTGTTTCAGCGAAAAATTGCAACGTCTACCATATAAAAGGTTTGATATAAACTTCTGGGTAAAAATCAGTATTAAATCCTGATTGGCTAGTCCGAATAGGATTATTGCATTGCGACTAAACATGGGTGATAGACGCAAAGGTGGCAGAAAAAAGTTCAAACTTTTTGATTATCTGCAACAATTTTTGCGTTGCGAGACATCGTTGCCGTCAAAGTCGAGGGGCAACATACGCCTAAATAGTGTCTCGCGCTGGCAATGCAACGGAAAAATTGAAATTGCATTGCCTGCCCGAGAAAAAATTACAGCGTGTATCGGCAGCTTTAGTATTTATTAATGATTTTTAAAATAAAAAATAAAAAAAACAAGACACGGTGAAAACTAGGCAATCTAATCGTTTAGCTTAATGTAAATCATGCAGGACCACGTTTTGAAAGTAAAATGAACATTTTTTTCAAAGTTAGGAAATAAAAATTTAATAGTTGAAGGTTATAATGTATACCGTTCCCGAGGTGGATATGAGATATACTATCAACTCGAGGCAAAGTCGAGGGTTGATATATCTCATATCCACCGAGGTATAAGGTATAAAAACGCCCTTATATCATTCTTGGGGAAGTAGTTCTTAATACGAGGTTGATAACTAGATATACCAACCTGGACATTCCTTTGTTTAATTAAGTTGGTTGAATATGAAGAATAAAGGCCGTCAGTGAACTAAATGATGATATAGCTAAAATTACAATTAAAAATATAAGTTTGTATAAAGATCTATAAATTGTCGCCAACAAAGGATAATGTACGTTCTTTTCAGTTCTAGTCTAATTAAGAATTTCTTCGAACTTTACTCGGGAAGCTTTCCTATTCATGCGATTCGTATAAATATGCATGGCTTGTTTTGATGATTATTACTGAATCAGGTACATAGCAGTTAAATATGGGCATGCACGTTTTATTACACAATAAAGGTTTTGCACCATACCGTGCCCTAGTCTCCCCCACAGCCGCTTTCAGTGTCGTCACGCAACGTGACGACACTGAAAGCGGCTGTGGGGGAGACTAACCGTGCCCACGCCTATAGTACAGCTTGGGCTGCCTGTGGTTAGATGGCAGAACAATAAAAGCCCTTTACTCTTGAATTCTTTCTTATGTAAAACGATTGTATTGTTCCAGCCATCTAACACGGCTCCGTCACGTTGTGGCACAAAACATCTAGTTATAAGGCGAAGGGAAGCGTCAAGGGAAGTAGCATCAAGGGTGCCCTATCCTAGCTTTTTACAGTCGCCTAGTTTTATATTGGTGGGTTTCACTCAGCTGATAAAAGTCTTTGAATCTAATAGCGCAGCGCAACCGTGACGTCATAAAAACAAAGGCGAAATTCGGACAAACAAACTTACAAGTTTACTTTCAGCAGATAATTTTCACAGCCGATCGCAGTTGATCTTAGTTTACATAGGTTATTATTGTAACTTTAAGTAAAAATAATAAAATCGGTTCGTATAATCCTCGTAGCGGTTAAACAGAATGCAATGTTTGTCCGAATCTTTAAGCTATTTTTAGAATCAGTGCGCTGCGCTATTATCTGCTCCAAATGGTGGTCAAACACCTGACCACCATGTGCTGTCAACCAGAAAGAATTCTATTTAAAACTTGTGATTCAGCTGATGAACATTCCGCACGAGACAGGAAATGATGTCAAGTGAAACCCAGCAATATGGGAACGTTCATTGACCATACAGAGAGAATTTGTGTCGTTCTGTTCTAGATTGTGTCGCTTTGTTCTTTTCTCATTGTTACTGAATTGGCTGTAAAAATACAACATGTTGACATCCATCGTAAGACGTCCTGCTACCTTGTAAATCCCCAGTAACTGTGTTCACAGCATCCAAGATGACAGAAGAGTAATCATCCTTGCTGTACTGACAGGTATCTTGGCTGCGATTAGGTAGAAGCCTTTTCATGTCAATGCTTTTTGATATCGATTCCTGTGTAGGTTCACCTCCATCGACGGAAATCTCAACCGCTTTTGTAATGGGAGTCCTGAGTCTCTTAAGTATCTGGTCGCATTCACGTGACTCTGCATGCATCTCTTTAAGTTGACCATGTTCTTTCAAGTGAAGGATAACTTCATCTACATGCTTCTTTAGTATCTTCCTATTTGCAAAGGGGGCCTATTCAAACAAAGAGATGTTACTCATAGACAAATTTCCTATACGCTTTTTAGAGCGTGTATGGGTGTTTGAAGACAAGGGGAGAGGAGATTATAGCGTTTGAACAAGCCTATGTCAAACCTTGTTAAACTTGGTGATCCCCCTTGTATGATACACAAATTGCATTTTTTATTATTTGCAGCACGAGGGTAGATAATTTATATAAGGTTAGTTGTCTGGAGTAGCGGGAAAATCATGCGGCAAAATCACTGGAAATCTTGATTATGTACAGGCTACCCAGGAACTCGTTTTAACCTTCTTACCCTAATGCTGTCAATTTTCAATTCTGCAGTCTTTTCTGGTGTCAATATGATTAATTCTTTTGTCTGAGAGCTAGCCAATACAGCGTGGTGTGCCAAGAGTTCCGTTTCGGGATCGTAATCAAAGCTATCCTCTGAGGAAGGTATTAGATTACAGCAGCTAATGAAGTTGATACCACGAGGTGAAGACACTTCTGCAATATGTCGTACAAATAAGATTGTTAGAGCATTTACAATAATGACTTATTACAACACAACTTATGATATGCCGCAAATGGTTTTCTATCTATATGCCGTACAATGGAATACTTTGACGGTATGGCCGCCGTATCGTCGAAGTAGTCCATTGTGTAGATTCCGTTACGAAGGGAGTGCTACATTTCGGTTAAGATTTAGCTTATTTTATGGAATCTGCGCATGCTATATAATAATAAATATTATCGGTTAACTGCATTTATCAAAACTGCATTAACACCTTTTATGTCCTTACATGCACCTCCTTTATTCGCCACTCTTTTTAGACTAACCTGGTGCAACAAACTGCTTTATCCAATCAAATGCAGGACTGATATTGGTTACAAATATCTTGGGCACCAAGCGCTTATCCAGAAGCATCTTGTAAAATGCTGCCCACATCTGCTCTGTGTCGTACGGATGAATGCTGCGGTACGCACCAAACACCACCATTCCAGCTGGATAGAGCTTTATTTCAATGTTTTCTAGTTCAGTACGGGTACCACCGTGGTCTTCCTTGTACAGAGTTAGGATTCTGTTATCCACAGCAATACCACAAATGACGGGCTTCTCGGAATGAAACCCATTTGGAGCATAGCAGTCTATATCACATATGAAAGAGAGTTAATGATAAACAAAATTGTTTCGCGCTGATCACAATGCTCTAGGCGTGCGATCACTCCCATGACTCCCTTGCAAACGTAGAAACCGCGGCTGCATCTAGATAGCCCGTTACGTTTACACCCTGAAACAAGCTTAGCGATAACCTACTACCCTGGTAAAATTAAACAAAATAAATTGTGTACAGTCTGTAGAAGTACCTATATTTCCTTCTCTCTTTTAACCCTTCCGAAACTCATGTATTATATTTTTTTGAACTTTTTTGTATTACAGTGTTATAATTTACCTGGTATCTTTTCGGAGCACATCTTGACTGCGTCCAGAAGTTGGTTTTCCCAAACCAATACCATTTTTGTCAACTGTGTCCCAATCATCTTCGTTACCTTTAAAGAAAACGTAAGGAAAAAAAAAAAAAAAAATAAAATAGATAAAGAATAATCAACATAGGGCGGGGATATGTACATTGGAGAAGAGGAAACATAAGCCGTTGCGATTTCAAATATTGAAGGGGAAGCCGGGTGCTTCCTCCATGCTCAATGATTACTGTCTACTTATCAATACAAGGTGAACATTTGATTTACCTCCTTAACTTGCGCCACGACTTTTTCTCTTAGCCTTTTCTCGCCTCGTAACAGCTGCTTTTGTCTGTAATAACTCCAGTTATTCTGCATTAAAGGCTTTGATTTGATAGCTTTTTGAACAGATTGCAACTGAGTTTCCATTGTTTCTAGAGAGTCAGACATTTTAAAAAGTTCGGCTTGCTTAACCTTTTGCCCATTGACTTCGACCTCGGAAATTTCATAGACCTTTAGGATAGTCTTCCATTCTCTCCACAACTGTCTTAACAAACTCTCCTTTCTAGATGACTCAAATGACTTGACAGTTGGTACAAACGCAGACATCTCAATGGATGATGAATACCACAAATCCTTTTTCATTGATGCACTTTGGTTGTATCCTGCACATTGCAGCGTATGGATGGCGTCTTGGTTGGACTCGAAGTTTAGTACACTCAAATGGATAGCGTTATTATTTTCTTGGTACAGGCGATTAGGGTCTTTGACTTCGTGACGCAGCATTGTTGTCACAACCCTCTTTATAAGACCAAAGGTAATAGGTCTTGAAACGACACTTCTTGCTAATCGGCGGAACAGAATAACGAGGCTTTTTGACAACGACCTTTCAATTCTTAGCTGTCTCAGGGACTCCGCATGTTCCCCACTCTCCCCTTTAAAGAGAAGAACAAAAAGATCTTCAAGGATGTTGTACCGAATTTTGTACAAGTTACTCGTCGCGTTGGCATCATCGAGAAATGTCGAGCATAAGTTTCCTACGCCTTCTTGGATTCTCCGAGCGACTTGCAAGTTCTCTTTCAGTTGTCCTGCGATGCACGCAAATTCATTAAGCAGTCTTGCAAGGAGTAAGCGACGTTTGAAAGCATCCTTGTCGGTCTGTAAATGCTGAGTCGCTTGCGAGGAAAACAGGCACTGTGTTATTTGATTTGATTCTGGTTGAGCTGCGAGGAGATTTATCATTTCTGGAGTTAGGTTCGTAAGAGAATCTATGTCACTTGAACACAAATCCTGTGCGAGAACAAAACTGGTACACCACGACTGTATTGCTTGTGGATCATATCCAGCGTCTGTCATCTGCTTGTACCATACTGGAAGTCGTCCAAAACTGGTGTGGTCTTCAGGCCCGTTATTCTCAGTTGTCACTGATAAGAAGTTGAAAACGTCTTCTGCAGAATTTGGAAATGCTTTGGCAGCAAATGATAGAACTTGCAATGGAATTCTAATTTCGTTGTTCAACTGTTCCAAATTGGCCTCCATTTTACTCCTTTCTTTGAACCAATCAGTAATTTTGTTAATAAGCAGCAGGCTTTCTTCCTTGCTCCACGAGAGTACCACATCCGCACAGGCTTCGGCGCACTCTGTGCTGGCACACAGCAACTCAAATAGTTTAACAGCAATATCCTCATCCTCGTAGGTGTTTATCACAAGTGCCATAACTGCTAATTCCTTTGACAAGTGCCCCCCGCTAAATGGGAATGCATTGGGAAACCCTTTTGTGCAAAGAATTGAAAGCGTCTTAGAGACCTCAGTGTTCATATACACTGCTGCCTCACAACTCTTTCTTCCTGCTTTCCAAAAACATGTAGCTTTGATAACATCTTTGCATTGTACTGCAAAGAGAGAATCCATTGCCAGCCAGTGTTGTATCTCGGCTAAATGGGAAGATTCCTTCATGACGCTGATGATCAAGTCGAAGTACTCTTTTGGCGAAGGTGAATCTAAAACGCCCATCATAGGCATTTGACCAAAGTAACCAAAGGAGTGTTTACTCAAAATCGTACAGCAAATCTCTATTGTTGTGCTCTGGATATCTGCCACCTTTAGTCTTCTCAAATGCTGCATCACCAAATTAGCCAAATTTCCTGGAACGGGAATTTCAGGTTGATTGGTGCCACTGGACCATTGCTCAAAAAAAGTTTTAAAATCTGGATTTCTTGATAGATTGAAGACATTTAGCAGGCCTTCGTGTTTGAGACTCTGGTATACAAGCAAAGCAGTGGAAAGATCTACCGCTGCAAGTGACGTATGCTTCAGAAGCATGTAGAAGTCATGTTGAATAATATCCTTCAACTGGGCATTCAAGTCTTGTGCAAAAAAGAACGGCAGGAAACTTCCAGCGATAAACTCAGGGGCCAAAGTTTTTACCACATCTAATATTTTCGTCATACCTTTCCTCATTTCTTCAGATGTTGTAGCTTCTTTGAATGTTAGAACTAACTGTTTTGGAATGCCCAGAATATTGCCTACCATTCTACATCCGTCTTCAACGTTCAAATGCGACTGTCGAAGGCATTCAACAATATGGACGATAAGACACTTTATATTTCTCTGCTTCTCGTCGCTTAGACCAACTACGTAACATTCTCTCAAACACTCGCCAATTAAAGGAATGAAACCGTGAGGGACACGGAGCAGCAATTCTTCTATCTCTTCTATTTCGTTCTTGAGCTTTGCTTCAGATACACGTCTCTTTGTTATAGTTTCAACAACGGGAAAAATAGAACAAGAAAGTTGAGGGTTTCTCTCTACTCGCTCGATGATAAATTGGTACAAACTAGCCGAAGTCCTTTTGGCAAAAGTCTCGGGCATTCTCTCTACAAGAACTTCCATTAATGAAAACAAAGATACAATCCCGTTAGAGTATTGTTTTTGCATCAAGGGTATTTCAGCAACGTTTCTGACAATTTCTGGCTTTACTACCTCTTCAAAATGTAGATCAAGAACATCAGACTCCAAAGATGACGCTGATTGATTATTAGGCAACTGAAATAAATGAAACATGACGTTGAACAATTTTTGCTCGTTGGTGATCTTTTCCTTTTCGATGATTAAGGTTACTTTTTCCATCAATCGGGTGATCTTTGGCAAAGATAGAGGAAGTTTTGCAATCTGGCAAAGCCCTTCGGCAAAACAGCCGTCGAAGCCTGCCTTTTTCCCAAAGCGTTGGGCGTGGTCAATGGTTTGAGCCACAACGATGAGCAGTGAAAGAACATCAGGAGCGTTCGGTGGATCCTTTTCACGTGTATGGACTGCAGCTTGAACAACTCTTAGGACCACTTTAAAACGATGACTGTTAAATATATTCACAGCGATGCATCCTGCTATAGACGCAAGTATGATTTCAAAAATATCAATGTTTGGAAAGGAAAGCATCGGACTATGCATATATCTGTAAACTGATTCAAAGAACAACTCGGAATTTTCCCTGCAGAGCGTTTTTTCTATGATGCTCAACAGGACGATCATATGTTTGTGAACGCGGCTGTCTTCAGTTAGGATTTTTTGATTGAACTGAAAGCATTGCAGAATAAACTGACAATTTTTCAATCTTCCCTCCGTAGTTGCAACGGCAAAAAACCGTTTTATGTTGTCTGTATCGACTGCAACTGGCAATTGAAGGAATCTGCTGCAAGTATTGACTACGCCAATGATGTCATCATGTTTGATTTCTTGCAGGAGCTTTAGGTAAGATTCAAAAACCTCCCTCTTACGTCGGATACTACGGGACTGATCAATCAATGAAATCACTTCCCTGATTTCCTGATATTGTATCCTTGTAATGTGTACTTTAGCAGCCTTGAGAAGGCTCCGAGTGAAGGTCTTGATGGCATTTGTTTCCATGTCTGATGCAACCGAAAGGATCACATTCAAAACAAAACGATATTCTTCTGGAAGTGGTACTTCTTCAAATAACTCTAGTGCCAGTTGAAGGACTTTGATCTTTACTTCCTCAGATTTTGAAGCACCTTTCAAAGAAATAAGAACAAAGTTCGGGATTTGCCTTATTTTTTGAGCAACTCCTGAAGAAGGGTCGTTTATCGGATTTCTGCAATGCAGGTCTAGAAGACGTAGTATGAGACTTAAAACTTCTGGGCCGTACCAAGAATGTGGTAGTGAAGGTATAAGATGAACCATCAAAGGCTGCCACAATGACAAGTTGTATAAACACTCAGGGGAAAGGTGTGACAAAAAAGTGACAAGTTGTTTCATGTTGCTAGATATGCTTTCTAGGTCTTTCTCCCCTTCTATTACGACTTTTACTAGCACAAGTAACTGTGACAGAATGAGTTTCGAGGTATCATCAGGAAAATTTTGCTTCCATATTTGTACAACGTTCAATACTAGTTGTTTGTCTGGTAGAGTTAACAATGCTTTGGTTATAGCATCAAAACTTGATTTTTCATACAATCTTTCAAACATAAGTTTATGTGCGGATCTTCCTCGACTTTGCTCTTTTAGACTCTTTAGTTTTGCATTCATGGCGTCGGTATCGGGTGAAATTTCAAAATCGCAATCTTCCAAATCGGAATTTGTGGGAAAAGGTAGCAGGGCCCTGTCTAATTTGATTCCAAGTGTGAAAAATAATTTTTCGATTAAGATCACACTAATTTCTTTTGACTGCATGAGTTGTAAACAGAGCGAGGTATGGCGTAGAAAAACCTCGGAGTGATCAAAAAAGACTGTTGTCCTATCCTTGGAACAGAAAACCTCTTTCTGTTCCACTAATGAACTTCCGAGTGAAGAAATACAATCAGCAACTTCACAAACTAACGATTCTTTATACGTCAAATAGTCCGTAAAGGGAAGATTTGGAGCATAACGTTCATCGTGTACCAAAAAGTCGTGTTTTGCAACTTCAACGACAAACCAGTTGCGTAGGAACGAAACCTTCAGCAGATCCTTCCAGCTTGAAAGAATGATTGCTTCCTTGACACCATAAATGCGGCTTAACTTAAAGAAATCAAGATTTTCATCTCTCTTCGTTATTGCTACTGTTTGCTCAATGAGTTCTTCAAATCCTTCGTCTTGGATTCTTGGTATAAGAGTTTCAAATAGAACTTTGAAGGTCTCTATAGGATTCTCTCTATACACTTGTGTTGCTGAAGCCACCACGACGAAATACATTCTCGCACGAACGATGGCTTCGTACATGTCTCTAAACTTGGACAGACATCTGGACATTAGCACGGTAGACGGACAACTAGAGACTTCTTTCGGCTTCAGTAATTCATCGCAGAGCGCCACAATCCAGTCAGTGATAACTGTAGGACTTGCTAGGTGATGACCACATCCATTTTTCAAGGCCTCTGACTGCGAGCAACACAGATCAACAAGTTTCAGGGATTCTTCTTCAAATGTCTTGCTATCACTGTAAACTTTGCTCAAGCTTACCAACCCTTTTCGAATGATTTTCACTACAAAATTCCCATTGAGTTTAGTCAG